GGCTCTGTCTTTCAAACACTACTGAAAATCACTTTTTTTGCCTTGCAAAATGCCAACTACATTTTGGGGATTAAAAAACATTTCCCTATTACCAAAGAAGTAGGATTTTTAAAATAAAATATGTCTTTGACCTTACACAAATGCATATAACATTATGAGAAGTCCTTCCAAGCCCAAAATTATCTGGTTTCTATGTAATTATGCTCTTAGTAAGGTTGATTTGAACGTCCTAAACAGTAGAGTTAGAGGAAGCGTCTCTAAGAATTATTCTTAATTACATAGCGACCATTATTCATAGAAAACTGATTTATTGAAAACCTATTACATTTAAGGCTTGAGATTAGTTCTGGGAAAGGATACAAATATAAATAAGACACATTTGCTGCTTTAATCAGGAAATATTTTTAGCTTAACTGGTGTAACAAATGAATCCAAGTAATTTTTCTTTTTGGGAAGTTTTTAAATCACTGGTGAGATGCTATTAAGAACACAAACACATAGTTATTCACCCCCTAGTATGTGCAAAGCATGGGAACTTCAAAGAGGATTAAGATTTCATCTTTGCTGTTAAGGGAAGAAAGACAGACTCAAACAGGCTATAATAAGATAAGAACAAAGGCATAGAAAGAGCTGCAAGAACATAGTTCAGAAACTATGCATAAACAAAGTTTAGGAAATTTAGATATGGCATGTTATATCGTAGATAGAAAATTATATAAGCAATTAATTATTGATTTGTTATTTAATGATATCATTAGCATAGTAAAGCTAGAACTTACTTGAGGGAATTATAATTCTGGCTCTGGCATATGGTACTTAAACTCTGTGAGCTCAGCTTCCAGATCCATAAGATTATCATGATAGTATCACCCTTGGAGGGTGTTGTGAGAATTAAATGAAATAGTGTATGGAAAGAGGCTAGTATCCCGCCTGGCACATGGTAGGCCTTCAATAAATAGAATTATTATATCTCTGCTCTTTGCTCTTTGGGAAAAAAACCTGTTCCCTGCGAGCAGTGACACACTGGCATGCCCCTTGATCTGTTAACATTCCATCCCCACTGCTTCATTCCTAGTAGGCCATCATCATTTCTCAACTTGGCTGGTATGGTGGCCTTTTATAAGAGCCCTTCCTCTACACTTGCTTCTCTATAATTTACTGTCCATACAACCGCCAGAGTGATTTTATAAAATATATAATTCAGATCATATAATTTCCTTACTTCAAACTCTTGATGGTCTTCCAATGATTAAGGGATAAAAATCAAACTTCCTCACAGCCTAAGGCAGAGCTGTACAGAATATCAGGGGGAGAAAACTTTGGGAAAGAACAGAGGAAAATTGTTTCTTTTGTATTTCTGTATTGTTTTGTTTGGCGGCCATAACAAAACACAGACAGAGTAGCTTAAACAATAGCAAGATCAAGGTGTCAGTAGGCTTGGTTTCTTCTAAGTCCTCTCTCCCTTGCTTGTGGATGGCTATCTTCTCTATCTTCACATGGTCTTTCTACTGTGTGTTTCTGTGTCCTAATCTCCTCTTCTTTTAAGGGCACCAGTCACATTGGATTCGAGCCCATCCAAATGACCTCATTTTAACTTAATTCCCTTTTTTTAAAGACCCTAATTCCAAATACAGTCATATTCTGAGGTAGTGGGGGTTAGGACTTCAACATATGAATATAGGAAGAACGTCATTCAGCCCATAACAACCTCTCTATGTGTTGCCCATCTGTCAGCGGGATTTCTACAAGTTCTTTTCCGTGTAGTTTTAACAACTGTCACTATAATGTGTATTCTAAGAATGTTGCTTAAAAGGACGCCCCTTAAGAATATGGACTCCTGGGTAGGTCTCTGCCCACTGACTCTGGTTTTCATTCTGTTTGTGTGGCTTTCATTTCTTATCATTCTCTTCCTTACCTAGTTTGTACCAGCCTCACTGGCCTCTTTTCTAGTCCCTGAACACACTAAGGTCTCTCCTGCCTCTGAGCTTTTACCCTGAAGTACTTTATGCTTGGAATGGCAATTATCTCTGTTCTTCCAATGGCTCACACTTACCCTCCAGGTCTGAGTTTAAAAGTCACGGCTTTGAAGAGTGGCTCAAAAATCTAGGCTTTCCCAGGCTCTTACTCCATTACCAGCCTGTTTTGTACCTCTTATGAATGAAGAGATTCTTCCATTTAACTTATTTCTTTATTATTTATACTCAGACTCTTCTAATAGCATGTTAACTCCCTGAGGCAGGGAACTCTTTTATTTATTTATTTATTTATTTATTTATTTATTTATTTATTTATTCATTTATTTATTGTATTTAATTTTATTTTACTTTTCAAATTTTTATTTAAATTCTAGTTAGTTAACATATAGTGTAATATTGGTTTCAAGAATAGAATTTAGTGATGTATTACTTACATATAACACCCAGTGAGACAGGGAACTCTTAAGTCTTGTTAACCAGTGTAGCACCAGGGCGTAGTATGGAAACTGACCCTCAGCATGTTCTCACTCAGTTAATGTTTACTGAGTGAATGTCCAAATGAAATCCCTCTACCAATCATATATTTTTAGAATCTCACTTAATCTCAAAGACCTATATGATTATATAAAGCAAATACTGAATAATGTCACAAACAAACTAACCAATACTAAGATGGTAATTCTGGACACAAATATTTTTTCAAGAATCTTTAAGGAAGTATTATGTAAGAATTTGAAAATACCCATTATTATCATAAAAATCATTGTAACTACAAGAATTAGCATAACCCCACACCCCTTAAACCCCTTAAAATAAATTTGTAAGTAAAAATAGCATTGACCTAATTCCTCTCCTATGCTTCCCTTACTCCCATAGAACACTTATGGTATTAATATTTTACAGGACATAGTTTGGTAAATACTATTCTAGAAATCAGATGAACACTGTCTGTAAACTAGAATAAAGTGAAATGTATCACCTAAGAACTTGTTAGAAGTGCAAATTGCCAGGCTCCACCTTAGACCTACTAAATCAGCAGGGCTAGGGTGAGGCCCAGCATTCTGTACTTTAACAAACCTTTGGGTGATTCTGATCCAGTTAAAGTTTGAAAACCACTGCCCTAAATTGATCTTTAAAGTAACTTTTGAATTCTCAAGAATCTTGTCAAACAAATGGTTCAGTTGTCAGGACATATACAACCGTAATTGTTCTAAGTAACTTATGTTTCCTTGCTCTGACTTGCAGTAACTTAGTGCTTTTAATAATTGTTCTTAAGAAACTAGCAGAGTGATTTGTCCCACTCTTGAACCACTTTGAGTTAAAGCTCTTATCTTCTAAAGTTCAACACACATTACCATCTTCTTGGATTGCCTATCTATTCCTGAAACATTTTGGTTTGATGAGCTTATTACTATCATATTTTTGTTGTTGTTTACAATTGATCATTCAAATAAAAAGTCAACTAACTTCTCACACTTATTTTCTCTGTTTTTCAGACGTGTTATTTTTTTTTAAATGAAAGCTCATGATAGATCAATTTCATCTATACTTTTTCTTTCACTATACTTACAAAGATATATTTTTCTTAGGATACTTATTTGCGAAAGAATTTTCTCGTTCTCCTTCAAACTATTTTTCTTCCTGTGGCTCAGTCTTTGTCCTATACAGGGAGAAATATTCTGATTCATTTTTATGAGGATAACTTTAGACCTAGGGCATTAAGCTATACCAACTGCTCTTTGTCTTTTTTTTTTCTCGGCATAAATCCAAATGCCCAACCAGTATCCAAAGGAAATAGTCCATCTTGATAACAGATGTTATTCTTTCCAGTATGGAGTATCTAACTTTTAGCCAAACAGTGGTATAAACCATCATTTAAGGAAATGATGTTCAAGAGGGCAACAATTTTTTATTTTTATTAGTAATAAAAAATGGTATATATAATAATAACTACTATCATTATTGAGTGCATTATATTCTAGAGACTGGGACAAGTCATTTCAGTTAATACTCATTAAAACATTTACCTATCAGGATTCATGACTTGACTAAGATCATATATTTAAAAAGTGTTAGAGCCAAATATAAATTCCACAATTCCTTATTTTAAGCACCACGCTAAGCCCAGATTGTGGCACTTTTCCTTTGTCTAAAATCTGTGTCAGCCTCATTGTCGTGATGCACCCACCTTTTTCTTCTGCCAAGCAAACTTATGTGTTTGTTTCTGAACCATTCTTATTTAGGCCTGGGAAAGAATGTCAGTAGCAGCCATTATCAGAAGCAAAGAGAAACTACTACTTAATAAGTACTCTTATAAGAGAGTCACTGTGTTCAGGGTTTCATATGAGCAAGTTCATTTGATCCCTATCAACAGTCTTGCCTATATCTGTGGTTGCTGCTTTTGAGAGGTTCAATAGCCTGCCCAAGATCAAATGGCTAGTAGGTGGCAAGAAGTGAATAGGTCTGACTTGTAGGAGAGTTTATCTTTGATTTCAGTCACCAGTGGATGGTCTGCCTATTGTTAAAGGTGACATGAATCATTTTTTGTGCTTAAATTATTTCCCAGAATTCTCAGCTCTCCAAAGATGCATCCCTTACAACTATTATGGTTTATCTCCTCACTCTGTGGCTACGTTTCCTCTTTTTAACAGCTCACTTCTTTACTAACGGCCAATCAGATGACGGACTATAAAAAATTACAAAGGCTAAAAGCTTTTGTTCCCTGCACTGCCTGTCATAACAGTGCCCGGAGGTGATGTATTTTTGAAGAAACAAGGTTTCCCTAAGTAATTGGGGTGCGTTTTTGTTTTGTTTTGTTTTGTTTTGCCTGTAAATAAACACAGCTTTCTGGTTCTGTTGTTCTTTTGTCTACATTTTCTTTTATTTTTGGAGAGATGCATTATCTCACCGAAAATTTAAGATGCCATAAAAACATGATATATCATATCTGTGTTTACTCTTTAATTATCCTCCTTGCCTATAAAATTGGTAATTTTTTTCACTCATTTACTTCATACCTACTAGGTCCTGTTACAGAAGTAAAAACTGACATATATGTCACCAGCTTTGGACCTGTCTCTGATGTTGAAATGGTAGGTATTTGGGAAATTCAGTGTACCTCTTGAGGTTTGGAAGTAAACATGCAGAAGAGAGGGCAATTAATATTTATTTTGTTGTTAATCACACACAGCTAGAAAGTCAAAGAACCGCCTAATTAATCTCAAAAGTTTATAAGGAGTAAGACATTGAATTTGCATTTCATCTCTAACATTTGAATATTTTTTGGTTTGGAATTATTCTCAACAAAGAAAAGAACTTTCCTATTACTAGTCTCCATGGCACAACATTTTATGTAGTAATTTTTTCTCTTAGAAAATTATTGAAGAGGAGAAAATTGAAGAGTGTAATTAGTTTTTGTATGAAACTATACCGTAGTCCTAATTGCATTTAGTATTCCATGTTGGCCCAATTGCTCACTCCCTGCCCCCACCCCAACCCCTTCTTGCCCTACCTCTCTCTCATGCTTAAAGAGGTTAGAACACCTGATCAGGATGAATTCATCCATTCAGTTGTGCCTTCTAATATTAAATATATGTAGTTTAAAAATCAAAGGGCCAACTTTACTTTTTTCCTTGACCCGAGGCTCTTAGGCTAACTTTAATAAATTCTGTGAATATAAAATTACTTTTTACATATTTTACTTTGTCTTAGAGATGCCTACAATTTTATGATCAATTATGCCATGATATTTGTTACACTTACTAATTTTGCTACCTGGTCTAAAGTACAGCTGTAATTACCTGATGCTGGCAATTTTATTAAATTATAGTAATTACTCTCAAATGATTCATGTGTACGGTAATTTACTTATCTAATAAAGTAGAAGATTAAGGTATCAAGATGGACATAACATGCTTTAATTGCTGAAAATCTTTTAGTTCTATTGATTTAAGAAAATTTCTGCTCCTATTAATTTTGTTTTTATTTGGGTAGTTTTTTTTTTTTAATGAGTGGGAAGGAGGCTAGAATTTAATGCATATTTATGTGTAGTCATCTGTGATTTGAATATGTCACAAACTAACTTCCCTAGGAATACACAATGGATGTGTTCTTCAGACAGACATGGATTGACAAAAGACTAAAATATGATGGCCCCATTGAAATTTTGAGATTGAACAATATGATGGTGACAAAAGTATGGACCCCTGATACTTTCTTCAGGAATGGAAAGAAATCTGTTTCACATAATATGACAGCTCCAAATAAACTTTTTAGAATTATGAGAAATGGCACTATTTTATACACAATGAGGTAGTCATTTTTTTCTTTTTCCTTCTTCCCTTTTTATGCTTTTTTTCCCTCCTTCCCTTTTTCCCTCTTTCTGCCCTTCCTTCCTGCTTTCCATCCTTCTCTTTTTAGGTGTCATAAAATCATTTTTAAAGTGAGAGCTAATGTTAATTGTATTTTTCCACTTTAGACTCACCATAAGTGCAGAGTGTCCCATGAGATTGGTGGATTTCCCCATGGATGGTCATGCATGCCCTTTGAAATTTGGAAGTTGTAAGTTACAGTACAAATATTGTTAGAATTTATTATTACCTAATGCAAGCTGATATTTATATATGGGCACGATTCCCATAATCCATTTAAATCATTGTTCATGACAACAACTCTCTAAGATTTGACTTTGAGGAGACTATTTCAACCCATTTCCAAAAACCAAAAATCTGTTTGTACAGATAGCCTAGGTAGATTGACTCATTAATAATAGGTTGGTGGTCAGTGGTGAAATTCAGGGACCCCTGGACTCCATATGTTGGTGGTGTAACAAAGAAAGTACAAAGGATTTTTAACGGGGAGGGGAGTAATTGAACAGTGTCTGTTACAAGCAGTCTTCTTTAAGGCAGATTTGAAAAAAGGTGAGAGAAGTTTCAGGGTTTCTTGAAATGACAAGGGCTGGATAATATCAGCTACGCTGTTGGTATCAAAGTGACTGAAGCATGATGAAAGCATAGGAGGAGCTATGGGCTGATACACAGACAGAGCCAGATAATATATCACCTTGTAGACAGCGTTAAGGAGTTTGGATTCTATTGTAAATGCTATAGAAAGCCCTTGGAAGGTTTTACTAGGGGATTTGGCATTCTTTGACATTTTACAACTTCATTTCAGCTTTTCTATGGAGAATGGATTGTAGGGAGGTTAGGGTAGACGCAGAGAAGAGTTGGAGGCTATTGCTTTAGTACCATCAAAGATGGCAGTGGCTTAGACAAGGATGGTACTAGAGGAGAAGTTGTGAGGTAGATGAATTGGGCATATTTTGAGGAAGTAAAGGCGAGAAGGTGAAATGAATAGGTAGAAAAGAATATGGAATTCTTTTCCCCTAAGCTTCCTTCTCTGAGATGGCAGAAAAATGAGGTTGCCTCTTCTAAGGCCTGCCGCAAATATTTGATTCAATCAGAATCTACCAAAAATAGGTGCTAGCTTTTATTATTGCTTCAGATCCTTAGTATACCGATTGTGAAACTTTTGCCTGCTATTACCATTGCTCACTGCTTAACTTGATGAGAATTGGCTGTCACCCTTCTTTTACAACCCCTAGTAATCACAGTATTCAGTGAGCTAAGTTAATTCTAGAGAGAGTCATTTGCTCCCTAACCAGTGACTTAATGAGAGAAGATTTAAAAAAAAAAATACACAGACAGAAAGGGCCATCTCACTGGGGGCAGAATTAAAACCCATTGGTACTGTAATAATTTAAAATTTCCCCCAAGATAGTTCTTATCTATGGGAAGTTCTTTCCCATGCAGCCCCCTCTGGTTCCCATACACAGCACTCTTCCTAGTGACTTGAACATAGTTGATACTCAATCAGGGTTTGTGCTAAATAAAGAAATCACTCTTTGGAAGTTGAATTTTTGGGTTAGGAATTAAGAAGAGAGACACCTCTTGATTGCCTTCACCCATTTTGCCCACGCCCCCATTTCCTGCCTGAAATATTGAATCGTTAAGAGCAAGGTTATTTTATTAAGGTAGAATAGCCAAGAGAAGGATACCTGATTTAGAATATCAAGGGCAGGAACATAGTATTCGGGGTCTTTTAAATGTCTACTGCTAAATGGCAAAACAAGCCTCAGAGTTCGTTTTGTGAAATCATTTGTAAAATGATTTCCCTAGGTATCAGCTCCTTTGTAGAATTAAGCAATTTCACTGAGGACCTACTGTGCTCTAGCCATTTTAGGAAGGTTTGTGGAGGGAACCAATTCATCATGGTTCTTTTGGGCTTCCTTGTGTGTGAGCCAAGCTATCTGTTGTGGGTAGACTGGTAAGGCAAGCAGCTGGCTTCCATTCGAATTCAACACGGAATAATAGAAAATGGGCTTAAATTGCCGCTGGGAGGGATTTGTTGAAGACGGAAGGGAAAATGTCCTGATTGTAAGAGTTGAAAGGTAGCGGAACTGGTTGTGTAATTATACTCCCTGGAGAGCTTTACGAACAGCAGAACCAGTTGTCCCTGCAGAATGGTTCCCAAACAACATGGGTGTTGCCCAGAGGCAGCCTGGAATAGGTGACCCCCGAAGAGCTCTCCCAACAGTAGGATTTGGTTTGGGTTTGGGTTTTATTGTTGTATTATTATAGACAGCATCTGGTACATTTCTAATTGGCAGAACAGCCTTGGGATGGAAGAAGTCAGTATTGGTCAAGCATTAGAATTGAGTTAGAGTGGGAGGAAATATTTTTTTTTGGTGGAGGAGCATGATTTCTGTTTTTCAACTGCTTATCCTATTAGTATGGAAGCACATCCAAGTGCACTGATGCATATATAACATTTAAGTTGCCTTAGTTTTAGTCTCTCCTTCTCCAATCCTTTGACATAAAAACAAGAAATATGCTGAGTTGCAAGGCTTTTCATTTAATCTCTACAGTTTTCTAAATATTAAGCATGTTTGAGTAAATCATAATGATTATTGTTTCCTTTTATTCCATCTTTCTTGAACTTGTGTAATATTCTTAAGTGTTGACCGTCAGTCCTGATGAAAAAGGACCATTAAGTCTAATCACATTCTGGGCTCTCATTCAGATGCATATCCGAAGAGTGAGATGATTTATACCTGGACAAAAGGTCCTGAGAAATCAGTGGAAGTTCCAAAGGAGTCTTCCAGCTTAGTCCAATATGACTTGGTGGGGCAAACTGTATCAAGTGAAACTATCAAGTCCATTACGGGTGAGATGCTTAACGATTAAAGTCAATATGCTACTTGGCATTAATTTTCTAGCCTGCAAGTGGGATTGAAAACCACGTTTTGGGATTTGAGTCTTCTGAATCTTGGACTTCACAGTCTGAGAATAAGGCCACAGCTTTCCTAAGTAACTTTCTTAATATGTCGCTTTCAGATGTCACATTAAAAATATTTATCAATAGTTCCCAGAAATCTTATAGTTTGTTTCCCTTATTAGCTTTTTAGATTTTTGTCTAAATGCCCATAAAAGATGCTTGAACTCAGGGATGTTATAAATGGCTCTATGTTATACGTTTCTCTTTGTATTTTTCTTCATATGTATAACATTTAGAAATACAGCTCTTTCCTAAAACTAAGGCAGTAAGACAGCCTCTCTCAAAGCATATATGTATATGTAACGTATACCTGAGTATTTCAATTCTTTCCAAAATTAAGCTTTAGATTTTCAAGTGTGTGTATCTCCATTTTTTCTAGTGATTTTCCATAAAAGTGAGGTCTAAATTCTGCTTTTACAAAATGCTGAAATTGAAGGCTAATCGCTTTCGCAGTACCAGATCTTTAAAATAGAAAACACTGCAAGAATTTTTAAAAAGTTGTAGCTTAATTTTGTTAAATTGCTTAACCACTATATAGAACAAAAGTGTTTTTCTGCGTAATGATGTTCAATATCATTTCCTCCTTAGGAGCTATATGTTTCTCAGCTTGCTTGCAATGCACAACAGATCATTCTTTGTCTGAAATACTGTTTGTTAGTCTGAAATATGATTATGAAGTCATTGACTAATTGCCTGCGTAACCAATAATACATTTTCCTCGTGTTTTATTTGTAGGTGAATATATTGTTATGACAGTTTATTTCCACCTCAGACGGAAGATGGGTTACTTTATGATTCAGACATACATTCCATGTATTATGACAGTGATTCTTTCTCAAGTTTCGTTCTGGATAAACAAGGAATCAGTTCCAGCTAGGACTGTATTTGGTAAGTGCCATTCATTTCGTGGGTATTTTTGTTTGCGTTATATTTTGATCACGATGCACAGGAATAGCTCTTAGACGTCATTTTTTTTCTAAGAAAATATTAAACAGTAATATGTCAAGCTGTATGGAGAAAAGAATCACATAGCTTTCTTTCTTTTTTCTTTTTTTTTCATAAACTTTCATTTTTACCCAGCCAATACAAATAAGGTTTGAGGGGATATAGGTAGGCTATCCCTTCCTTTGGGGCCTCATCGTATTTCCCTTCTTGAGACCAGGCAGATCAGACCAGGTGGGAATCTGGGTATGATTTCACTTTTCGTGATATTCTTGGGCTCCTACCTTAATGCTGTGTAGTTGAATTAAAATCATATCTAGGTGTTAAAATGCAATGCACTGGGAACTTAAAATAAAACAAATAAAAGTCATGGCTGAATGAATATGAAAGCCTTAGAATAATTTACCTTTTAATGAAGAGGAACAAAATGCCAGTGGTTTAAATGCATCGAGTTGGATGGCATTATATGCTTAGTTGATTAGCTCATTGTTATATTTTATCTCCATCTTTTCTTTTCTGAACACAGGCATATTTTCTTCTTTTTGTTTTTATAGTGGCTTCCTATATATCATATTCTTAACTATATGAGGTCCAGAGCACATCAGTTTTAAATTTTTAGCTGTGAACAAGTCTTCTGTATATCAGCCATGCTTTTGAATAATACAATTTGTTATAATGGTATTTATTCAATTTAACATATTTCTCTATTCTTTTTCTATTGATGGTGAGTAGCAAAAGCATTCAGTAGTAGGATAAGAGGGAAAATGTTCACAGTTGGTCTGGACTGGAGGTACAATCCTCACAAGAGATGTTACTCTTCCTTTGCTTTTTCTAGTTGGTAGGATCAAAGCCATGATATAATATCCATTTTCACACAACAGCAGGAGGGATGCTGGTGAGAAGAAACTGGGGGAAGTGGGAACTTCTCATCCCGCTTCCCCATCCTTATAGAGAACTGATCAGGTGTTTTAGTGTCCTCAATGCCTCTGAACGTGAGGAAATTTTCCATAGACATCTGCACCACCCCCCTTAATCTTAGGTTTACTCAAGAACCCTACTGGGGAAACTATTACAGAAGGGTCAATGCTGGGGGCAGGGTATGACCCCAGGAGGGCAGCAAGCGGGTCTCATGGCACTACTTACTTCATAGAGTTGTGAGGGTTCAATTAAAGAATAACTGCACATTGCAAGTGTTGAATAAATTTTACCTATAAAAATGGGTGTAAAAATGAAAGAGCAAATAACAAATCTAAGCTTGGGACTATAATAGATTGGGGTTTGAAACCGGAATCTGGCACTTATTTTCTCCATCCGTATACATTTCCATCTTAATGCATCTCTCCTTCATAGACTGGTGAGGAGTTAGACTGATTTTCAGTACTTATCCCAGGGCACATGGTGCACTTAGTACGTATTCGTTACTCTCTCTCGTACTTCTCTCACATGGAGGAGATTTATTTTGTTGCGACTTGGCTTCCTTGATTTTTAATTGCTTTTCAAGGAAAACACTTACTGTTATTGCATAATACCTGGCACTCTGCTAGGTCCTTTATGCTCCTTACCTCATCTAGTGTGTATAGTAGACTTGGGTCTTTACATATCACGTTCAGAGTCAGCCTGACGGGGCAGGAAGTCCCTGCGGAGGCTGAGCACAGACCAAACTCCCTTCACTTTCCCTGGCACAAATCATACCAATATTTCAGGAATTATTATCAGAAAATAAAAATAAAACCGCTGATACACATATTATCATCTTTTCTCCATGACCTTAAAGACTATCTAGAGCAGAAAATATTGACCCATCCTTTGTGCATCTGATGAAGAGGCAATAGTGTCTTAATACAGATTCTGCAGCCAGGCAGCCTCGGTTCTAACCACAAGGTCTACCACCGATTTGCTGTAAACCGCCAATGAGTTACTTCTGCTCATTTCCTCGTGTGTTGCAACAGGATGAATTGTTGTACCTACTTCATAGGGTTTCTATGAGGATTAAACTGAATTAATTTGGATAAAGCACTTGGAACAAAGCCTATCACACAATACATTTTATTTAAGTATTTATTATTATAATAGTCCGTGCTACCATCTACCAAGAATCACTACTTGATACTATAATATGAATGTCCCCTGTATTTTATAGCTATTGTGATTGTTTGATAAGCTTCAAAAGCTTTTTTGGTTGAATACAAACCGGTAGCCACTGTACTATCTCACTTGTCCCCCAAACAATAGAAATTTCCAGTGGTGTGGAGAAGGATAACATTGGTTACATTAGTACTCACCAACATCTCCAACAGATGAGACACTGTAAGGAAATTAAGTGGCATGTAGCAAGGATACTGGTAGTACTACTAATGATGATGATAAGATTTACCATCTTATGTAATCTTCACAATAACTCAGCAACGTAGGTGTTATTAGTTTTTCACAGATAAGGAAAATAACTCAAAGAAATCAAGAAACTTGTATAAAGTCACATACTTACAAATGATGGACCCAGGACAATTTCTGTCTAACTTCGAGAACCCTGCCATTTCTACTCTGCCGTTCTGTCTTCACAGGAAGTATGAGGATGTGGGCATTTGTGGAGTATTCCAGAGCTTCTGAGTGAGATTGATGGATGTGTGCTGAAGATAATTCGTGGGTAGCTTTTTCCATTTGAACTGTGACATTTGCCTATCTTGTGCTCGTGTGCCAAGATGTTGGTTTTGATTGACCAGGGAAATTATGCACAACAATTGAGTCTTCAAAGACCTAAGATGTATCAGAATGGTAATTATTAAACTGTTCATTGAGGCACTGAGATGGCATTTTCCTAAGGAAGTTAAGTTTTAAGTATTTGGGGAACATTAGCAATCTATTGCATATGAGCTTTAAGTAAAAAATTAATTTTGGACTAGTATTTCTTTTCCCTAATTTTCATTTCCCTCTTCACTCTGGGAGAGTATATGTTGGATCAGGGATGTCACTAGAGATCATGGAAAAATAGACTCTCCTCTTCTCCCCCCCCCAAATTAATTAGTGTAAATATGAAAAGCAGAGTGTGATAAATTCTCTCCAAAGGCCTTCTATCTGCAAAGTTGTATGCCTTTAAGTCTTGTAATTATTCCAGTATAGTAAAATGTTAAACCAGAGTAAATGCCAGCTGGCATATCTAAATCATTACTAGTTCATTTTCTTGGAGTGGCCAGCCAAAAATTTACTCTTGAGCACAGTCTTAGCCTACTCTTACACGTCCTCTCCCAGCTCCTGGGCCAGCCAATATGGTACATATTCAGCATTATAAAAGCAGGTACTGGCATCAATACTTGAACATGTCAAAAAAAATTCTATGGTTGTTGAAATGTTTTCAGGGTAGATGCCAATTAAGCCATTTAGAGCAGATGCACTGTCTTCCTAGATGCAGAGGAAGCATGTCTCCTTATCTGAAGGGTTGGCTTCTGTTTGCTACTCTTTTGGTGTTTATTTAACCAAATGCTCTGTCTAAAAACAGCTGTAAGAAGCACATTCCTGTCATGCTAGCGCTTTCTTTAAGTTTGACCACAAGGTGGAGAAAATTTTTTGTCTAAAAGGACGGCAACACTTAGCCAATTGTTTATACAGGTTACTTGCCTAACTTTGCCAACAGTCATAAGATATGAACCATAATATTTGAAGGGCTCTTTTACAAACTTTCAAATCAAATTGACTCAAACCAGTGAAAGAGAAGTGGAAAGTGGCCACATATTTTTTGCATTTATGTCCGTAGCATCATTTAACATCTTCATGAACTTGGTGATCTACCCTCCTTAGTGATCAGGAAGTAATTTTGGGATTCAAGGCTCAATAATTGCATTAATATCCTGCTTGCTTAGCACTGATAAGGGAATTTCTTCACATGACAGCAGGAGATGAAGACCACTACTTCAAGTCTGCAGGAGAAATTGTTCTGGTACCAAAAAAAAAAAATGTTCAAAGCAACCTGAGAAATCCTAAATCGCTTATATTTGAGTTTGAGTTTTCCTTTTTGGTTATCACATTATTCTGAGTTCTGAGTAGTATTCTTATTTAGGCTGCACTGTTCACATTTTATTTCCAAGTGCTTTCAGCATAATTTCTGTGATAGTAGAGGAAATATACACAAGGAAGTTGTAGAACAGTTTTGAATTCTTAATAGGCCATTAAACCTTAATTTTTATGAATAAGAAGAAAAACTTTGATTTATCTTCAAACTTTGTAGCTAGAATTTTCAGTTAATTTACATCTCACAGGCAGTATGGGAATGCTGCCATTTTTCTGAGATCAAATGGAGACCTAAAAGTTTTAGGATTTCTTTCTGGAATGAAGTCCAATAAATTCACAGTACTCCATTTTCGTAGCTATTTCAATATCTCCATATTTGACCCAGCAAACATTTAAAAATCTGTTTTAGATGAATAAATTCTAAAACATCACACTTTTTTTCTTTAAAAAGGGAATACAACCAAATCCTCAAGTTTCTTCCTCTGTAGAGTTTATGGAATATTTTTAAAAGATCTATAGCTTATACACTGCACAGTTGCTCTAATTTTTTATTTTCTAAACATTGACAATTCAGAAGGGACTGGAGAAGAAATGGATTGGTGAGGAGGTGAAAAAATGAGTTTTTATTTACTATGCATTTATCATGTATCCAGCATTATATGAAGTATGGTAAATCCTGAAGCAGTGTTAGACATTTCTGCCCTCAAGGAAGCTACACTAAATTAGGTTGTGGAGACAGGCCTACATGCATGGAACAATTAGGGAACAAGGCAGAATATAATTAAATGCTGAGTTGAGGAGACAATATAATTTCTCCCTAATTTCAAATATTATTATTCTATTAGTCTTGCATGGGGCTCGCTATCTCTTCAGTTTGACATGTTATTATTTGGCTTTTGGTGAAGGATTGACATGGATTGGAGTATATAGTTTAGGTGCCTTTTTCATCATCATCATCATCATCCTCACCATCTTCAATTCAGGAACAATTCTGGACATTATATACAATGAGTTTTTTATTTATTTTTTTAAAGATTTTATTTTATTTATTTGATAGAGAGAGAGAGCACGCACAAGCAGGGGGAACGGCAGAGGGAGAGGGAGAGGCAGACTCCCCACTGAGCAGGGAGCCCAATGCAGAGCTCCATCCCAGGACCCCGGGGTCAAGACCTGAGCTGAGGGCAGAGACTTAACCAACTGAGCTACCAGGTGCCCCTAGAATGAGTTTAAATGGATATAGTAAATTCTCACAGAAATCTCCAAAGCTTAACTAGATAACATAGATTATATATGCAGATAGACAAAGATACACAAAGAGACAACTATTAGCATCCTTAAATAACAGTTCTCTATAGCTCCAGTGGCAAGTGGAATTTTTCCACTGAGAATGGGGGCTAACCTTTTTTTCAGGTGGAAGAGAAGGCTTCCCCAGAGATGATATTCTTCAGAAACCTATTGATGAAAGAGAAGTACCTCTATTCTTGTTGCAAAGATTTTCCTGCCTACCACAAACTGATGCACGGTAGATGTCCAGTATTTTTAAAACCAAATTATTCTAGAAATCTATTTTTTCCAGAAATATACCTCTATTGCTTTTTATAAATGAAGCTCTTTCACAACTAGATTATTATTTTATTATTATCTTAATTCAATAGGTTATATTCAGTTATAAGTATCTATGATTCATGATTTTTCTGGTCACGATTCTCCATAGCAATGGGCCATGCCTATCCCAGAAATTCTGATGATCCAAATGACGGTGCTATCAACCTCTCACTCCTGGTTGAGAATCAGTGCTTCATGAGTCACACTTCCTGTTAGGTGTATGTGTTGACTTTCTCAGGTATGTTGGCTCAGATACTAACACCAGTCCAATATATGATAGGTGCTGCATATACTTGTAATCTTTATAGCAAACCCAATAGGTAAGTATCAAATGAAGCCCAATGAGTTTTCCTCACTTGGTCCAAGTCACACTGAGCCAACGATTAGAAGGATTTTAATGATATCTGTCTCTTACTTGAAAACCTGTGATAATTTCACTGAACCCCTAGGGTTTGACTCTTCCATCAAAGATGGTTTGAGATATTGTGAACTTTGTTACCCCTCCCCCTCCAAGTCCCGAGGTTTGTTGGTTTGTTTGCATAGAAGTAATGGTAAAGCATTTTGTCTCTTTGCTCTTTTGCTTCTGAAGGAATAACCACAGTCCTCACCATGACCACACTGAGCATCAGCGCACGGCATTCTTTGCCCAAGGTGTCCTACGCTACTGCCATGGATTGGTTCATAGCCGTCTGCTTTGCTTTCGTATTTTCCGCCCTTATTGAGTTTGCTGCTGTCAATTATTTTACCAATATTCAAATGGAAAAAGCCAAAAGGAAGTCCTCAAAAGCCCTCCAGGAAATACCAGTGGCTCCCGTGCAGAGAGAAAAGCCTCCCGAAGCACCTCTGCAGGTATCTGACTTAATCTCCTTCAGTTGAAGATTTCAGCTTTTTGGTCAGATTTGCATTGCCAGGGGAAACACTGAGAATTCGAAAATCCCAATAATAATTTGTAAGTCATTTAAAATCCAGAAAAATAGAAAAGGACACTTGTAAATGTAAACTTTAAAACTATGATTAATGACCTAAAAATCAAATGGGTCCAGATGAGCTAGATTTATGTGGAACTAGTTGTTTGAAACCTCCTGTCAGAATTAAGAGGTTTTTTTTTTTAAAAGATTTTATTTATTTATTTGAGAGAGAGAATGAGATAGAGAGAGCATGAGAGGGGGGAGGGCAGGCTCCCCGCTGAGCAGGGAGCCCGATGCGGGACTCGATCCAGGGACTCCGGGATCATGACCTGAGCCGAAGGCAGTCGCTTAACCAACTGAGCCACCCAGGCGCCCCAGAATTAAGAGTTTTTGACTGGGGAAAAATCTGATGTCTACTATTAAGAGGAACTTGTGGATAAGTTTGAGTGGGTTGATCAGTCATTTTAGTGGAGTTCATTGAACAAAGTAAAGCAGTGGTTCTTGACGTGATCCCACATTAGAACTATCCCATGGGGCCTGGTGGGGCCCTTGTATTAAACAAGGAAATGAAACCAATAAACAAGAAGACCCATAGTTGTAGCTGACGTACACCAAAGATGAAGCATTATTGTCCTAAAGGGACAGACCTAAAAGGATGTAAAAATCTAAGACTACTGTAATTTACGTTGGGCACATCAGTGATTCTGTGATTAAAGAAAAAAAGTTCTAAAGTAACGTTTTCCTCATGGACTCCAGTTGTACAAAAATAGCAAGATCTTCATGTGAAAACAGGTAAGCAAACGGACAGCTACTCCTCCTCCTCTCCCGCCTCCATCTCCCCCTCCTCCTCCACTATCTCTTTCTTTCTTAATCTCACTCTACTCAGCTTCCTCTTGAATCAGCAGACAAGTGTCTGTGGTCCCTAATCCAGAGCCTTGTAGTTGCCACAAGTTGTGGTCTAACACTCTTTTGCCCAAATCAAAGTATATATAAATGATCAACTTTATTGTCTGTAGATAATAACTCATGCCCTTATTTGTCAAACCATTCACTCATTCCTTTATTTTTTTTTTTAAACTCATTCAACAAATACACATCCAATGCCAACCATGCAAGAGACTCTGTTTATGGGCTGGGAATCCACAGTGTACATACCCCCATCCCCGGCCCTGCCCTGCAGCAAATATCCTGCTCTGTGGGGCTTACATTTAAGCGTGTAGGATGAGGAAAGGGAGACAGATGATTTAAAGAACGTAACTAATGAAACACGTGGCGTGTTAGATGGTGACAGTGGTAGGGCTGGTAGTGGTGGTAGAGCTGAAGCCCCTAAGAGGAAGGACCGACGTGCTGGGGGTTGTGAGAGGCAGGTGGTGTGGGACATCCTCCTCCGCAGGAAGATGGCAGCAGAACAGATTAGGTTAGATGCTCACGCCCGCGGGAATTAACTGGTCAGGGTTCAACAGTCTACAACTCTTGCAGAGCTCTGGGCACTGGTTCTCCAAGAAGAGCATGTGAGCAGGTAGGGGTATTACTGCCCTTCCCATTAAGTCAATTTTGATAGTTTACATTTTCTTCTAGAAGAACCCATTTCACAAGATTTTCAAAATCATTAGAAAGGATTTTGTACACTCTTTTCAGTGGGAAAAAAAATGATTATCGGCAGTTTTATTCCTTTCCCGTTCCTTATGGATAAACTTATGCCCCCTCTGCCTTTGATTGTCGTTTTAATTGCTTTGCTCTGTTGTGTTGAGAACTTGGTAGAAACATTCTACTTACTGCTCCTTTCCAAAAAAAAAAAAAAAAATTAAGTCTTGGGTATTTATTTATTTATTTTACTGCTTCTGTTTTCTAATTACTGATGTGTGATTTATTTTATTTCTTTCTGCAGGTTAATTACGTTACTCTTTTTCTAGTTTCTTGAGTTTAGTTCCTCTAATTTGTTTTCACTGTTTCTTATTTAATAATGAAGATTCCTTTATTGCAATGAGCTGTATTACATACAGCTTTGGCCATAGTTCATAACTTTTGATACATATTATCATAATTATTTGCTAAATATTCAACAATTACATGGCTGATTTTCTCTATAAGCTAAGAATTATTTGGAAGATAATATTAAAATTTCGAAAGTGGATTTGACTTGTTTATCTAACTCCACTGTATTTCTAGTTGTATCACATTGTATTCAGAAATGTTACCTGCACAAATGTAAATATTATTCACACTTTCATTGTGCTGTGAATTATGTTAAAAGCTTATAAACGTTTGATGGCAGTTTGAAAGAAGTTGATTTGTAGCTATTAAATCAATTTTACTTAAAACATTATTATTTCATCCATCTAATAAATCACCTCTTGTCTTCTTGATCTTTCAAACACCAAGAAAGACACAGAGAGTTCTCCCACTGATAGGAGATTTGTGTTAAATTTTTTTCATATTTTGACTTTTTTTGTTTTATACACTTTGATACTCCGATATGCAACACCTAAAGATTCATAACTGCTCTGTTTTCATATTAGTCTATGTATTTAATCATAAAATAACCTTTTTTTTTGTCCCATGTAATACCTTTTCCTTTGAATTCTCTTTGGTCTGATTTTAATGTTTTTTGTATTCTTTCTTAATATTAACTTTTGTAATATATTTTTACTACTAAATTCCTTATTCTTTATTTTCTCATGGACTTTAGAAGCTATATGTCATATCTTTATTTCACTAGTGATTAACTTTTAAGTTTTAAGACAACATATTTCTACTAATGATTTTCTAATAACATTGAAAAGTATAAAAACATAACGACTCTCCCATGTAGCTATTAACTTCTCCCAACCCCAGGATTGCTGAAGTCCAGAGATTCTGGATTTGGAGACATATTATATACATATTTTTTCTATTTATAGTGAGTTGTTATAGTTCTCTTTTCATTTTTTTTGCAAAGTGAACTTGCACTAGTGCTGTAATGGAATATTATAAATACTTAAAAGTACCACTTAATCAGAATAAAGCTAATGTCCAAAGGTGGGAAGAGGACCGATAATCTTCTGTTCGCTCCTTTAAACGTATCTCTTGGATGGAACTGTTGCCATTGCCAGTAAATCTCAATTGAACAAATGCAATGGGCTAAGTCCACTCTGATTCAGTAACTCCTCTTGGCAGGATGGGGCACAACCTGTGTGCAAATGACATAACCCAATGTCAAGAAAATTAATTTGTTTATGAGGGCATAGATTCATAGTATTTAAGGGTGGGAAAGAAATCTAGTCAAAATATACATCAGAGGCTTCATGTCCTCTACAATGTTTGACTATGTATGTATAATAACTCAGATCTCCACAGCAGTTTACTTGAAGACTATGTGTGTTCTAAAGACAGTGATTAATAGGTTAGCTCACCCATCCTCCTAACTCCAGATTCCCACCAGAGCATAGCTGGCTTTGGAGTGTCAGTTGTCAGTGAATGGCTTCAGTATCAAGTTCAACTTTGAAGGTTGAGAACACATTAAAATTGAGAGAGGGAGGGAGGATTTGGGGGGAGGGACAGAGAGAGAGAGAAAGAGATAGGGAGAAGGAAATTTAGAAGGGGAAAGATTGTGTTAAGAGCAAAATTTTAAAACATATTATTGGAAGGAAATATTCTAAGAATATATAAGGTTTGGAGTTTCAGTAGAGATTCTAATCAGACAGCTGAAATTTGCTTATTCAAATATGTATTCCAGCTTGTATGGCTGTTTACTTATTTGAATGGTGCTGCCTTTGTTTAAAATGTGCTTAAACTCCTTATTTGGAATTGCCCTGAGAGTCTACATGACATTTGGTAATTCAAAAGTCCTTTGGGTAAGGTACCTAGTGGTTTGATTCATTGTCACCATATGTGACCTGTGGACTGTTAATGGCCTGGCAAAGGTTTATGGTGACCATTTGTATTCTTTGGGAATTGGAATGTTTATGGTTTATGGAATATTCATGAAGTGAGGAGAAAAGGCGGATTGGCAGAATCTAAGGGCAGCTGTGGGCAGCTTGAATATGTCTTTGGGCATCTCAAGAGGCAAAGCAGCTGTTCTGCTTCTCTACTCAGCATTACCTTAATTCTGCCTTTGATTCTATCCTTCCAACACTTGAGTTAAGCTTCATTGTTGGGGCTGTACCCTTCCATATACTTACTACTTTTGAGAGTATCTATTCTCTCACTGATGCAGGTGATTTGGATTAATAGGCTGGTTTAGAAAATAACTAACTATTAAAAAAAGCAATATTTCTTAAAATCATATTTTAAAAAATCATTTGAAAATATATCTTACAGTCCTTGTTCAGTTAGAAAGTATGCATTTATGAGTGTATGTTGTATCTTGTGAAAAAAATCCAGTGATATAATGACTAAAGTTAATTGGTCTCTTAAATTGTGTCAGGTACTATGTGATATGCTTTCCATGCGTTACTTAATTTCAAGGTCATGATAACTATTTCACAAATGAAGAAACTGAGGTTGGCAGTTGTTAAGCGATGTACTCAAGAAATGGTAAACCCAATATTTAAATTAATTCAGCTGTATCTGAATGCAGAACTTGTTCTCTTTTATTAGAACTCTGTTTTATAGTATTTAATTTATGATATACCTATAAAGAATAGAGAGTAGAACGTGTATATTATATACATGCATAAAATGATCAGCCCAACAGTCTTGTTCATATTTCTATAAATAAATGACAATAGCAAAATATTCTGAACACTCTTAACATGTCAGTTAACAAGAACTTTTGCAGACATTCAAGCCTTAATGATGGATTAAAAATGTTGAGTGATGGAAATGGAGGGTGAGATGGTAGTGGCATCATTCTCTAGAACAGAGAAGAGCAGTGAACCACCTTTAATTAAGAAGCTAATTAGTAAAAAAAAAAAAAAGAAGCTAATTAGTTCAAGTTTAGATAGTGGCAGTTTCCATAGC